GTGGGTACGTCCTCGTGGACCAACATTAGGTATAGCAATGGCATTGTTTGGCATAATAATAAGCAATTGCTTAGCTCGTAAAAATGCCATTAATTCGTGTAACCACAAACCTAAACATATGCACGGAGCCAATCTTAATGTTCATCACTCATCTGGACCATCTAAATTTTGATAAAAAATTATTTTTATATTTTAATAAATTATTATTTTTAATAGGTGTAAAATTTAAAATAAAGATAACCTTATAATTGTCACTCTAAAAATAAATTTATATAAAAAACTATGGGTTAAAAGTTTTAAATTTGAATCATTAAAATCACTTTTGAATGGCCTAGAGTTCATCACATACATTAAAACCAAAACACTAAAAATTGGATTAGTCATTGAATCGATCCAGGTAATGGTTCAAAGATCAATGATTCAACCAAGGGCCAAATTGAAGTCAATCAGACCATGATTAAAATAATAAAATTTAATTAAAATATATAAAAAAAATATTTATTTAACCATGAAAAAATATTTAAATAAAAGAAATTAATGTTCAAATATAATAAAAATAAATAAAAAATCTAAAGAATTGAAAGACAAGGAAAAACATATAAAGTTACCAAAATATACTCACAAAGTTAAGAAAAGTGGGATTGGGTATTAGCAATATTAAAATTAAAAATTAAAAATTAAAAAATAAAGAAGTAATGTAAATCCCAAGAAAAGTAAGAGATGTGCATCCATGGAATGAAAAATAGGGTCGAATTGGCCAATTCACTTAGTGAACCAACAAGCCGGCCTATTTTTCTATCTGGTTTTCATGTTGAATCGCTTTGAAACTGACCTAACCTAGCTCGAGATTAATTTGGAATAACCTAGGTTTTCTCATGAGCTAGATGGGTTATTGGGTTAATTTTTTTCATGAAATACCCTAAAATGATGTAGTTTTGAGGGGTTTTTAAAGGGAGGGAGGGAAAGAAGCATGAATGCCTTGATCTAAAGCTTGGAGTTTGATCTTTGCCTCTTTATATCCCTAACCTTGTCATCAACCTCGGGTCTCCATCTCTTCTCGCCATCGACCTCATTAAAGTTGAACACCTCACCTTCGACTTGCTTCTCCTTGTTGAGCTTTTTTACTATCAAGCTCCTTCACCGCCAAGCTACTTCTTGCTTTTGTTTCTCTCTCCCTTTTTTACTCAATTCAAAATATGAAAGATGAAGTCAATTCTACTTTTTCAAAAATATAACATCGATAGATGTGAGAGCCTATTCTGATTGACTTCTCACATTACCAATTGATGCATGCACTGTACTAAAAATAACTAGTCATTGAATTGGTCCAGGTGGCAGTGTAGGTCTAAAAAAAGTAAGAGATGTGCATTAGTTATTGATATGAAAAGTCAATCACATGATTCTATAGCTAAATAGAATCCCTTTTGAGTGATGATTAAAATGCCCCTGACAAAGCCATAGTTTTATAGTGATGATTATGTTGAAATGTCGAGTGATATTAAAATGATCTTATTAAAAAAGGATCCTATATTATCAATGTATCAATAAATTTAGTGAAATTCATAGGAAGATGTAAAATTTACATATCATGAACAATACTAATCATTTAATATTTTATTTATGATCCATAAGAAGACACTTTTTTTTTTGCACATTAGTGTGTATAAACAATAAATTTGAAGTTCAGTCTTTTAATTACTTGGAATTTGTACTCACCTATTAATTTTAGCTTAGTTTTCTTGTAACTTGAAGTTTTGGATTATATGTGCATATGAAGAGTGTTGGAAAAAGAACTTTGTTGAAACTTGTATTTTGGAGTTAAGGAGGGGAAGAGGTTTATAAACCTCTTTCACTTCTACATATGAGAACCAACTTATAAGACATCATTCCTTCTATGAAATGCATTGGGTTTTTCCCATGAATTCTTTCTAACTTTTTTTTTTATTCTCCTTAAAGTTTGTATTGTTAATGTTTTACTTTCAATAACAAAGATTCAATTATATGATCCACTCCTTTCAAAAGGGAAACTTGTATGTCAGAAAGAATCTGATCATGTTCCATAAATTTAATCTTTAGTATTTAGATACTGTTATCCTAATTTGACCTTGGCTCAATATTTATCAAGATTGCCCTTGCATCTTGCAAGTCATAACTGATGACCTTTAGCTTTGCTCCTTCAACAAAAATTATTGTAAGGCCTCAATTTTTTTTCCCCAAATAATCAAGATGCAAGTAATTACACTTTTGGCCAAAAAAAAAAAGAGATACAAGTAATTACACACTGCTTACTATAAGAAAACACGTAAACAACAAAAACTAAAAAAAGAAGAGAAATTTTTAAGTGCACCCAATGACCCAATGCACTCACTCATGCTCATTCAAATAAAAATACACCAAATCTCATTATTTTAATCCCACATGACAACCCCTTAATTTATAATATTCTAGTATTTATATTTTTTTAAGGAAAAAAACTAGGATCCCCCTCCCAGCGTTCCCCTTAATGGTTTTTTATTAAAAATTATCGACACTAAAGTATTAAAAATTAAGGATTTCCGTGTGGATTTAAAATAAGGAAAAACACAATATTTGATCCTTATAATTTTATCACTTTTTTTTAGTTCCTATAATTTTTTCAATGTTTTCAGTCCTCATAGTTTTAAAAAGGTTGCGCGACATTTGTTTTTTAAATTTCTATAGTTTTTATTTTTTAATGGTTTTAGTTCTTAAAAGGACTGAATAAAGACTAAAAAATATTAGAAAAAATTACAAAGACTAAAAAACAAAGTCAATAAAACTATAAAGATCAAACATTATATTTTTTTTAAATAATATAATTTGGTGTATTTTTGTTAGAGAGAGCATAAGTAACACAATATACTGGGTCTATTTAAGAATTTATTATAGAGGAACACATATTACACATCAGTCAATGAAAGAACAAACAATAAAAAATCAAAGTCAATTATTCAAATCGTGAGTTGGTTAAACACATTATTCAGTCCGGGCCCAAAAAACAATTAAAACAAAAAGGGTTGATTGTTCAGTCTGGAATAGGATTGAATGTCGTGGTCAATTGGTATATCTATTATTTTGCTCCATTAAAAAAATAGTATATCTATTGTTGAATTGCTTGAGGTCTTCTTTTGGTTGGCAAGTGTTCAGGCAAGTTGGGTTTTATAGGATTCATTAGGGTTTAAATAAGCCTCATGATTCAATGAGAGCTTAAAAAAAAAAAAAAAGGACTCACTTCTGGTCCATCCGTCCATAAGATTATATTACTATTTTCAATTTGACTTCTACACACACATATATTTATCTGAGATTTATCTGAGATCCATTAATAACAAATCATATTTAAATATTGTTAGGTTTAATTGAAAAATATTTTTCCCAGATCAGTTTTTTTAAAGAAAAAATGACAGTAAAATACTTTTAAAATATGAAAATGATAATTAAATACCACAAAATATGATAATTATTATTTTATTCCAAATGACTTGCTTGACATTTTAATTTCTTGTGAATCGACCATTATGCCCTCAGCTGTCAAAATTAAAAGGGAAAAATGATAAAGAGGACTCAAAAGAATTAATTAATTCAACATAAATCTCAAATATCAAACTCTAAGAATTTACAAGTTCATCTTTTAATTTTATAATTTTATTGTAATGAATTTGCAACTTGTTTTTTAAATTTCAACATGATTGAAGAATAAATAAATTTATTTTTTTTTAAATTTGAAACATAAATTACAAATTCATCACAATGAAATTGTAAAATTAATAATCAAACTCCCAAATTCTTAGATTTTAATACTTGGGACTTAAGTTGAATTAATTGATCTTTTTAGAGCCTCTCTGTCATTCTCCCAAATTAAAAACCCAGGAAAGCCGAAAAAACCTGCAAACCTTGGCATCGATCTTCATCATCTTCCCAGATTTAATCGATTATTCAATCAAAATAAAATCCGAATCTGGAAACCCATAATCAATGTCAAAATATCAAAGCTCAAATTGTTGGGACAACTAGCACCATGCTCAGACTCAAAATAGCACCAGCAATGACAAGAAGCATGAGCTTGATGCTGGAGCTTACGAGTTTCTCCATTTTCGTGGCATAATTGTCATTTCACAGGAAATTAAAATGTCAAATAAGTCCGAAGGAATTAAATAATAATTATTACATTTCTTGATACTTAATTGTCATTTTTATATTTTGAGGGTATTTTATTATATTTTTTTAAATAGCGATTTATAGCTCATGAGAAAATGGATTAAAAAATGAAAATAATTCACATTATTTATTATTTGATTATTACGGTGGCCTGACTTAGTCAATTTCATGAATGGTCATAATATCGTTAAATTACTGCTATTTAAAATATAGCTATCAAGTCATTTTTTTATTAAATGCAGAAAAATGCATTAATAAAAATTAATACATATTTCATTTGTATGCACCTGAATAGTAGTTCAATTATAGACGCAATTGAATTTATAATATAAACGTAAGAGTAAAGTAGAAATACCGTGACTGTAATAAATTGACTCATACTAAACGTTACTTTAGAGGGAAAAAATTATATTATTACGAATTTTTACATTATATTTTAATTAAATAAATTATTTTAACCGCCAAATTAGTATGAGTTGAGTCATATTAATTTTCCTAACCCTATTTTGATAATATAATATAAAGGGCAGTCCCTCTCTATATCCCTATTTTGTATTAAAGACCTTTCTGCATCTTTCAAGCTATTAATCAGTGCATGATAAGTCACAACCTAAGAAAAAGGAAAAATAAAATAACACGTAAACTTCATTCAAATTAACATTTATTCAATAATGATACAATAGCCACTGAAAAGTAAAAACATGTACTGATTCACTAAAATGCCTACATCAAAATGCAAGACCTCAACCTCTCATTAACAATGCCAATAAGTTCTGCACTCAACACCTGGATCTATTCAGTCTCAGGATTCCAAGCATAAATATAGATAGAATCTTGAAGAGTTCACTGGAAAAATACTCATGTGCTAAAAACTTTTCCCTTCATGCTTACAGTTACAGGTCCTAAACATGATTTTAAATATACAGAGCAAGTTTTTACACTACAAATTACAAAAGATACAATAAATTCATCATGGATTCATGGCTTCCTTAGCCAAAACCAAGTTCAAGCAAAAAGCTATTTCAGACACTAGACTTCAGGACCAGTTGCAAACAAGGAAACAAGGCCACGGAGCACTTGCGCCGAGAGTTGGTGTGCCAGAAAGCGCTCACCGTCCACGTTCCATACGCTCTCATTGCCCAAGGACGTAAAAGTAAATGCTGGGGTCTGAGGATGCTAAACCAATTTAGGAAGTCGTTCATGATATGAGAGATTGAGTAAATGGAGAAGAGGAGAAAACTAACTTTATGATGCTCTATAAACTTAAAATTAAAGGGATTTCCACCTCTTCGTGTAAGTTCGGTCAGGTGCCTGGATTCATCGATTGTCATGCAAAGGAAACGTTCATTACTATACGTGCAAGTTATTTAATAACCAAGAAAAGAAATTTAAAAAATAAAAATAAAAATAAAACAGACCCTTTCCAAGCACTCTTAGGATAAGGTTGCAGATTCTATACCCATATATACATACATACATACATATACATATACATATACATATATATATATATTTTGTAATAATACCAAAAAAAAAGCTTAAGATATCTGCATGCATGATTTTTAAAACAAAAGGTCACAGAAGAGATAATCAGAAGTATGAACACAAAAACAGAATGTGTCTAAGAAATAACAGGAAACTAATTAGGATAATGGGGAAAACCACAGAAGAATATAGTGTTTGATTTTTTTTTTTTTTTTTTGCTGTATTTATCCTCAACTTGTTTATCAATATGTTTAAAGTAATTTGAGAAGCAAGAAACTATCACATTACAAGGCACCTTAATCTAATAGGCATTTTACTGCATGTAATAGATTCTCAATTCAAACCAATCTAAACCACTGGTCAAAATATGATATCGCATTGCCATGTCACTCCGGATAGTAAATTACCCTCCAAAAAAATCCACATGAAAAACAATCCATCATGTCAGAAGAATTTGGATAAACGAGATTTTGAAGAGACTTCAACGAGAAGCCATAAAGCAACAATGAAAAACACTGTTTTCAAGAGTCAGTTTCCAAATAATAGTCCATGTGCCAACTATTTTATCAACTTACAGGCTTTGATAACTTGAAAAGAAAAGGAGGCAGTGTGTACCAAAGATAATAGGCGTGAGGGCAGTCTTTAATTAATATAAGATGAAGGAAACCATCTGAAAGGTGTGCATCAACCACCAAACCGTCAGGTGCTTTTTCGTTTCTGCAAGAGATTACAGCGGCTCCGACACTGAGAAAACGTCCTCTGCATCTATTCCATTTGGCATTATCTGTACTCAAATAAGGGGTTGGGCCAGAGATTCCTGAAGCCATGTGACTTGGCATACAAACTTTACAATTGACACGGCAGATACATCTTTCTGGTCTATATGGACTTCTTTTATCTTGTACCCTACTACCTTGATTGTTGCCCTTGAAAGTCGGATCGGATCTATCTGAATCAACTTCTAGATAACCTATCTCAGCCTCATATGACCTGTATGACAATACACAATGAGAAAAACAATGAAAATAATTATCTGGAGAGGCACTAGCTTCAGCATGAGTAGCAAGATAACAAAATAGATCAAACAAATACATTTGTCAACTGAGCTTAGCACTGGAAAACTCTTGAAGGTTAGAGAGTCTAATGCACGTTTTGAAGCCTATTATAAGTACTGCATCAAGCTGGCAGCTTCATCAGCAAAAGAAAAAAGGGTTTAATTCAAAGAATTTCACCGCAGGCTACTCAAGTAATTTTTCATTTACTCTCTCTCTCAGTTACCAATGAAAATTGATAGTTCTTCAATTTCCCAAAAGGGATTCCATTAAATTGATCACAGAAAAAAGGGGGAGGGATTGGATTCCATTGATCAATAGTTAATGACCTGTAGTACAAAATGTGATCTATTAAAATGGGTCTCAGCTGACAAAAGCTCCTGACAACCCACTGGAGGTTCAGTAAAATATTCTTCATGAACTAACTAGTTAAGCGCATATTTTGCCAGGGTTTGTCAGATATGCTAAACTTCCCATAAAGTAGGAAAGAGACCAGCCCCAGACCGTGAGGCGTGAGACCGCACATATAGCAATGTCCATCACGTAAAGGATGAATTGAGATGAAAAGAAGGGGAAAAAAATTCAACAAATGGCGCTCAGTTCACCTGTGCCTTAAGAACACCATTGTCCCTGCATAATCATAGCGTTTGGGTCCCATCCAGCGATATTTCTCACTCTCTGTGATGACATCACCATAGAATCCATACCTAAGGTCATCAGAAAGAATAAGAGCTTATTGAAAAAAGCATTTTAAAAAATTAAGGATCAAAATGCAGTGGATGCAAGAATATGAATCAACATGTCGGAACTAAAGTAAGGTTTTGGATAGGCCACAAGAATATCTCCCAATTAAAAAAATATGCTTCAAAGTAACATGCTCAAAAACAACAACGGCCACATAAAATCTTTCATTCACAAAACTGAAAGCGTCTTAACTTGTAGTATGGTAACGGGTACTGAAATGCACAACTGAAGACACATGAACAAAATTTTCATTGTTTTCAAGGGTGTTATTAAAGTGAACTAAATTCAAGGCAAGGGCTAGTAGCAATGCCTTTATGATAATTTCAGAAATTTACTCTTTATTTTCAACCTTTCTGTTTAAAGGTTTACGGGAATCTGAGATTAGCAATCCACATAGCTAAAAAGTTTTCAAAAAAGCTAGCATCAGTTAGTTTCCTCCAGTGCCATAGAACAACTATTTGCATTTACATCAAGGTATTTGAACATGTTAATTTTCCATGCATGTACCAGGCATTTTCTCTGATCCAAAAGAGGAAGGAGGGGGAAGAGAAAGAGAGAACAAGCTTCCTGATACAAATAATTGTTTTCTAAAAGAAGAGAAAAGCATCGAAAATTGAAAAAAGGAAAAAGGAAATCATTTTTTTTTTTTGCCAGCAAAGAAGAAAAATCTATATAATCAATAAAATTCCAGAAAGTAAGCCAAAAGAAGACACTTAGAAAAAACAATGTTCAAATGCATTATTCTGAGTCACAAACTACAGTTTGAACTGAATTCTTTTGTCAACGTTATCAGAAAACACTAATAGAGACATTACCCAGCAAATGAAGCTGCATAGCGCACACAAGGTTCGACTGCAGATTTAGGTGTTTCTTTCCACCTTACAACTTGCGCTATGTCAAGGTGCACCTTTTTGCCAAGAACAATATGCAGTGCTGATGTTATAGGATCTCGACATCCAGTTGTACTAGAAAAGATACAAACGAGAGAGTTGTATTCAGATAACTCACAAAGTGTATTAGAAAACAAGACGAGACATTTGTAGCAAAAATTGTTTTGTCAGGGAGGCATGTTGTAAGCAACTTTATAGACAGATCATCAAATGATCGCAAGCATTTAACCTGCAACTATGCAATCTGTGTACCACAAATGAACCACATGGAGAATAAATACTTGGTATTCTCAACAATTAGCAACAAAAAAGTGGTATAGATACAGACCATGATGATCTGAACATCACATCCCTCAAGTCAACTAGCAACAAAGCTGATTCATATGTCTCATACAGTCACAGAACATAATACTATGGAGGCTTGTTCATCTTAACATGACACTCATGAAGCATAAAGCAAGCCTTACATCATGAGCCTATTCCAGGAAGGGAAATAATTTTAATCCTTGCAAAATAAAACCTGATACAATTTCACAAATATAGATCTTTTGTTGAGTTTATAGATATGAAGCTTAAGTCAATGGAAAGGCAAACATATTATTAGAGGGGAGAAAATCATACCACATTACAATGGCATCAGTTGAACCTGCAGGGATGATTCCAAATCTAAAACGTTCACTGAGGATTTGAAACTCAGGATCTTGATCTGCTGAATCTTCAAAAGCCAAAAAATTATCCCCATAAGTTTCCTTCTGCTCTCGTTCCCTTTCTCTTTTTCTTTTGTGACGGTGTGAGTCTATGATAATAAAACATAAAATAGAAAACAGAAAAGATGGGGAATGGAAGACTAACATAACATTACTTTGTAAAGTATGGAAATATTAGCATGTTTACAAAGTCATTTTCAGTTACCATAAATTCAAAGACAACCACTAACCAAGAAAAAATATTTATCAGAAAGCAATCCAACAATTACAACCAGGAAGGAGTTGTAGAGTGATAGGCAAGCAAGTATAGGCAAACTACTCACTGGAATTTGCAATTCTGGATCCAATTTGTTTTGGACTTGAAATAAGAGGATGTTCTTCATTTTGATTGGGATTCTCCTCAACTGCTTCATTTCCATCATGAACCAAGGAACTATGACCATCTTTAACCAAATGAACCAAATCCGATGGAGCAGGTGGGATCGGAGCTTTTAGCCTGGTAGAAAGAAACCCATTAAGGATTTCATTGAAAAATCCATCACCACCCTGGAACCACCTCAATTAGAAAAGAGCAAGTAATTGGCATATAATAAAGAAAATCACTCACAAACAGAAAGCAAATCAGAAAATCAAGTAAATGAATCCATTTAAATTGCCAAGGCTTGAACTTTCACCAACAGTCAGCCTCATTTTGAAGAATGCAAACATAAGTGCATGAATTTCAAACATGATTTGGTAAGAGCCTCTTTCTACTACAAGTATGGCTTAATTTGCGTAGTGAAAACATGGTTCAAGATTGGAAGTGAATATGATGATGAATTCCCAAGTCAAATCCCACAAGGTTCAATTCCAAGATAATTTTTTCCTTGGTTAATGGAGACCTATGTAAGTATGGAATACCTAAGTCACATAGAGTAATATGAAATGTTCAATGGGGTATTTAAGTGGACAGGTTCTCCATTCTTAATTTTGGGGGAGGGTTTCCCATCCCATTTAGGTACAACAACGACAACAACAACAAGCCTTTATCCCACTAGGTGGGGTTGGTTACTTGGATTGCAAGACGTTATTGTGCTCTATTATTTGTCAAGCTTTTAGAGATATTATTAATTAAAAGATCACGTTCAACAACTTCTAAGAGTGTTCTCTTAAGCCTTCCTCTACCCCATTTAACAGCGCTCAAAGTTATATGTTCCACTCTTCTCACTGATACCTCCCGCGGTCTTCTTTGTACATGCCCAAACTATCTCAAACGATTTTCTATCATTTTTTCCTCAATAAGTGCTACCCTCACTTTTTCGCAAATGTGCTCATTTTGAATTTTATCTTTACGTGTATGTCTGCACATCCGTCATAACATTCTCATCTCTGCTACTCCAACTTTATGTTCTTGTTGTCTCGTTAGAGCCTAGCATTCACTACTATATAACATAGCCGGTCTGATAGCAATACGATAAAACTTTCCTTTAAGTTTATTAGGCACCTTACGATCACAAAAAACTCATTTAGCTTTTCTTCAATTAAACCACCTAGCTTAAATCCTATGTGAAATATCCCCATTGATTTCGCCATCATTTTAAATAATGGCTCCCAAATATCTAAACTTTTCCACTTGAGGTATAATTTGATCTCCTGACAATAGCAGTACGATAAACTTTCCCATCTTATTTAAGTACCCATGAGTTAAAAAGGGATGCAAAATTTACATGACCATTGAATAGCAGTTATTGAACTCATAACATTAATGTGGATGAAAAGTTATTAGCATGGTGCAAAGTTTCACATGAATAGTTTTTAGACATTCTGAGATGCTGCATCATTTTGATGGTCTGAAGACTAGAAAAAGTATGATAATGCATGATGAGGTTTCAAATGATTGATAAACCCAAGAAAAGGAAAAAGGTATTTCCTCCTTCACATTTTATGTATCTTCTTTAGATTCTTTGTTATTGAGAGAAGGAAGGGAGGCTAACAAAGAAGTTAGCTAAAGAGATCATTTAGTAGCATGGAGCAACTAACAACATGTAATGTCATGAAACTAAGCAGGCACACTGCTCACTGTGCTCAAGGGGAAGCATTTCATTCTACTATCACCAGACATGCTTCTATAACTTTATCAGTTAAGTAGCACTATGGTAAATGTTCATAATATTAAGAATGCATCAAAAGATACGTATGTTCTTACAACAGCTACGACACCATCATAAGAGTTGAGCTCCCTGTTTGTTATAGAGGACATCACATCAAAGGCTTGTCCAGGTCTCTCCGTTACAACTACCTAGTGAAAGGAAGGAAAATGGATTACTAAGAAATTGATCAAAACAAAATTACATTAGATATTAGCAGCTAAAATATATAGCTGTTCCCATTTGCAAATCAAATACTGAAATGTCATTATGTCATCATAGCTCTCTAAAGTATCAAATCTAACATAAACTTCGTTGAGATGGGAATGGATTCAGAACTCACGCATACTTCCATATATCAGCCAATGAAAGTTTAACGCAAGTCAAATTATAAATCATCACTCAAGCTCAGCTCATTAAATACAGAAGTAAAGCCCAAGTCTAGTCAAGTTCAAGAACAAGAATATAAACATGTAACATATATATATATATATATATATATCAGTAAGCACTTGTAATGGTACGAGGGAAAAACCATTCATTAATATTACTCCCCTGGTCCCTTTTAATAAGAGCCAGTTTTCAGGGGTACAGTGTCCCTTTTGTTATGAGCTTTTTCACAGTTCTAGGAAGAATTAGAAAATGTTTCCAGATATACTCCTAATAAATGATGAATTTGAAAAAGGCATTTGGAGTTGTGCAAAATTATGACATTTAATGGAGGGCAGAATTGGAAAGAAACTAAAATTTTTAAGACATCAACTAACTTTACCTACTTCCTTGGTATCTCAAAACTGGCTTTTATAAAAAGGGACTGAGGGGGTAGAATTTATGATATAAATGTAATTTATGGTTTGTATTTCATAGTTGAGAATTCCGGTTAAATTATAGGCTTATTAGTGACTTCAACTTTCATCAAGGTGTTTTTTGGGTCTAAGGAATAGGGATATCATCTATTAGTATTTTGATAGGATTCCAGTAGTCTGTTTTAGTTCAAATAGAATTATTTCAAGTAGAGTTCAATTGAGATTGTCTATATCAACAGTAATTTTAGGGAAAATAACCCTTGTTACTGGTATAATCAGAATTATTGAATTCAGACACATGTTCATAGTTACAATTGAATGCCCCTGCGTGGTATCATGCACAGATTTATTTAATTATTATAAAAATTAAGTTTGATCCACCTTTTGACACAACAAACTTGAAGGTAAAATGAAAGCAACCAGCATGTTATCATTGCAAAATTTAACAGAGGATCAGGCATGATTTTCATCATTTTTTCCATAGTAAACATAGAAAGTGGATGGAAGGGCTTTAAACTTTATACGAATTGGAACAGAATGCTATCTCAATTTCAACCACTGAACAAGTACAAAGGTAACGGTCGGGAAAAGCTATTACATGTCTCAGTGTGAGCTTCTTAAATAAGGTATAATAGCATATCAGATGTTAAATTACAAATATTTGATGTTTAGAAGAGTAGACCATTCAGAAAATCACTAAATATGCTAAAAAAAAATATTCACCTTTGTTTTCACTTTAGCACGAGAGAATATAGGAGCCACAGCTTCCCAGGTTCTGCAGCCAAGTCCTTTCCCACTCCTTGGATGAACAAAAACCTAGTGAATCAGAAATCATCTCTGGGAAATGTTCATTTCAACTAATCAATGGAAGTTAAAAGAAAGTATAAAGCCTAGTGTTGACCAGTACCAGAACATACCATGAGATTCTTTGGCCTTTCAACTTTGAGGTTCAAGGAAGAATCAAGCCGATTTACCCACATCTGACATGTTTGCATATTATTATGGCCAAAAGTATATTTAACAGGGACCAATAGAGAAGGCTGAATCTCATTCCTTAGGACACCATACACCGTAAAACGATACATCTGCAACTTTGCAAGAAATACCATTCACCTTATTTGATTTGCCCCTGAAAGAATATAAACAAATAAACAAGAACAATGACAAACCTTGGCATCATGCCCAATAAGAAGATGTTTCATGGCACGAGAGATACGTGATAAATGCACCAGACCATAACCAGTAAACTCAGCAGCATATATGTCACAAAGTTTGATTGCCGTAGCAGCATTAGAAATGTATTTTATCCCCAAACAGGTTGAACTCTCCTGTTCAATTGAAAGTCTAGGATAAGTATTAGAAGATGAAACATGGATTACCTGTTCATTGGTAATTAACAGCTTTGAGAACGAGAACTATCTCAATTATAATCCATGACCATACAACAAGCCTTCTTAATTTAAATATTTGTGATTGGTAAAGCAGGTCTTGTTAGATGAAAACAAAACAAGCCCAGTAAGACTCACTCAAACCTTTAGAAGTCTTCACCACAATTGTATCAAAGTTGAGAAGGCATCGTCGTCCATAAGTAAAGCAATGATAAAAATACATGTAAACATCAATTAAAGCACAGGTGATAGATGACTAAACTAAATCATATCTTATCATAACATATAAAATTCATGTTTCAAAATTTAGTCATATTATTGCAATGTAGAAAATTTTAATAAATATTTGATCAGGTCAATTTCCAAAGGCCAATACCACAACCAATTGAACATAACTACTATTTTAAAGTAATCAAACAGCACTTACATTAACCAACGGTTCAACCGCTTCCCAAGATAACCCGTCTGAATTAAAAGCGAGGGTGACTTCCCCAACATGATCTAAGAATACATTGCAGCTCGAGATAGCTGATTCACCATCTAGCAGAGCATCAGGTTGACATTTATCGCCTGCAATAACATAATTCCCATCTCTTTCCATTTAAAATGGAAAAGTCAAGGAAACGAGATAAATTCCACCCGAATTTGATCAAATTCCGTTTGGGATCGAAAAGGATAGGAACCCAGAATAGGGTTTAAGTTCAGCGGAAGCAGATATACAGAGAGAAGGAAAACGAAGGCCAAAAAGCCGTTTGTGTTGTTATGAGGAAGATGCAATGCAAGATTCGCGCTTTTGATTCGAAATTTGGTAGGCAGATTAGCTCCATGTATAGACAGGATCAATTTAGCTTGACCAATGAATTAACCAGAGAAAAAAATAGTAATTTGATAAAAAAAAAATTGAGCGGAATATTTTTTACCAAAAAATCAAAAGTGAAGATGAGATTTTTTTTTTCCCCCTGTTGAGAAGAAAATAATAAGAACATATTTTGTTAATTAATTTTACGAGGTTTGATTCGTGTGAAGTTCCTAACCAATAACCTTAGGCTATGTTTGATACATTAGAATTATGAAAAAGGAAATGAAATTGGACATGAAATTCTTCAGTTGGCTTGTTTGATATATCAGAATTGCTTTCTTGAAGGAATCTGATTCCATTAAAATTGATGGAATCCAATTTCATTGTAGAGACCATAAAATCCACTAATTCAACATGAAATTGGCTTATGTGTCATTAAAAAATAAAATAAAAGATATTTTTAGCTTTAAAAGTACATTCTTTATTTTTTTATTGTTAAGTTTTTCATTAAAAAATAAAATAAAGGGTATTTTAATTTTTTATATTTTAAATACATATACTTATTAAAATTATATTATGATTCCATCTTTGTACCAAACACACTTTTAAAACTCAATTCAATTTCGATTCCAATTCTGATTTCAATTCCAATTTCGATTCCGATTTCGATTTCAATTCCAATTTCGATTCTGATTATATCAAAAACTCTTCTATCATATCAAACAAGGCCTTAGAGATATGATTGAACTGAAGCTTACAAGTTTCTGTTCATGTCGTTAATATAAAACAAATTTAATCAGATGCATATTAAGAAATGATAATGATAATGAAATGATAATTATATTCTAAAAATTGTTGAAAAATATGTAATTTTTTTAATTTTATCCTTCTTTAAAATTAATACCCATAATAAATTGTTCTATAAAAATTCAAATCATAATAAATAAATTAGGGATAAATTTATAAAAGAAAATTTACTAATTTAGTACTCGAATTTTGTCTTGTATTGAAGCTAAAAAGAAATAAAATTTGCTTATCAGTATGTAATTATTTACTTCTCCTCCTGAACAAAAAATCATGAATTTAGTTTGTTAGTGTCGTATGGCCAAAAGCAAGTGAGTTTATCTTCATTATATTTTTTCTTTATTATCTCTCCACTATAAATCTAAGTTATTCAAATTAAATTTATATTTTTTAAAATTATTAAATTTAAATTCCTCCTTTATCTTCTATGTATAGGAGGAAAATCAATTCCTGCAAAAAGTTTCATTAAAAGATAACCACGAGCTCAGATACAAAAAGGATGATAGTTATTTATAACATTGAATAGTTCAAAACTTGATGCTAATAAAAATAAATAAACGTTAATATGTAAAATGGACAAAACAATCCACGATTTAAAAGATGGATGGTTTTTAATAACTTTTTTATTTGCAATAACTAAAAACAAAATCCAAGAATAAGCATTACATAACAATGGTTTACATTTATAAAATGGTTTTATTCATGATCTATAATTATTAAAAAAATATTGATTTCCCATGAGCATAGGAGGCATTGTGCTTGTGCCAGTCAGACATTGGCCAAATGTCAATCTCAATAGTTTCAGATGTCAACGTTTGCTCGATTCATTTTTAAATCTCATTTGAATGTGCTTTCAATCATTTTTTGTAAACTCGGACTAACTTTGTTAGGTTGACCCACAAACCAATGAACCAATTACTTAGCTAGTTTGATTGATTGAGGAAAACTAATCATCTATGATTCGGTGTCAACCTTGTCAAGCTGACCTCAATCTGAACAATCCTTGGCGACTCGATGGGTTAATAGGTTGACTTAAGTTGGTATTTTTATTTTTATTTTTCTCTATTTCTTCCTTTCTCCTTTTGAACATTGAACTTTAAATCAAATATAAATTTCTTAATTAATAATTTTAATGATATTATGTTTTATTATTGTCAGAAACTCATAATTATTATTTCTATAAGACATACGTAAGATTTTATGGATAAATTTTTATTTACTCAAGAATTAATGACTGTTATTTAAATATTGTAGTCTTTCATATGAATATTTTTATATATTTAATCAAATTATATTATTTTAATCGTGATCGATTTGAATTCAGGTTGACCTGTGGTTGGACCATTACCTCAATTGGTTCAATGACTAATCTGTTTTTCAGTACCTTGCTTTCAACAAAGTCAATCTGGGTAACAATTGCTACCTATACAACTTTGAGCATCATAAAAATGCAAAGTGGCTTCCTAAATATGAAAAGCTAGATTGCCAAATAAGCCTTATATACTATTCTTTTTTTAAGGGAAAATCACGGTTAAGGATCATTGGAGAAATAGATTCATAGTGGAGGACCAATTAATTATGAATTTATACTGCAGCCTTAGAGGTTCTAACTATAATTAATTTTAACTAAAAAAATACAAAAATACCCATCTAATAGAAAGGAAATGAAGCATAGAACTCACCATTAGAAAAAAAAAACAACTCTCCATTCCATTTTAACAAAAAATAATTTCATGTGTCAAAATTCCTGACTTGAGAAAATTTCTACATGTTTAAAGTTGGTGAATAACTTACCATTCGACAAAAATAACTCACCGTTCCATTTTAACAAGAAATAATTTCATGTGCCAGAATTACTAATTTAAGAAAATGTCCAAGTATTCAAAGCTAGTGGACAACTCACCATTTGAAAAAAAAAAAAAATTCCCTATTCCATTTTTTTTAGCAAAACAATTCCCTATTCCATTTTAATAAGAAATAATTTCACGTATTGATTTAAGAAAATGTCCAGATGTTCAAAGCTAGTACACAACTTATCATTCATAAAAAAATAACTCCCCATTCTATTTTAAAAAGAAATAATTTCATGTGCCAAAATTGTTGTATGTGTGTCAAAAAAATGTGTGTGTGTCAAAGTCCCACATTGACTAAAAGAAAGACTCTCCTAGTGTATATATATTAAGGAATGAAATGGGCTAGTAAAATGGGTTTAGAGGAGAAGTGGCCTCGTGCATATGAGACAGGTCAACTCAGGGCAATCGCAGAGGCAATAAGTTCCTTTTACCGGGTTATTTTTAGCTTACCCAAAATAAATAATTATTTTTACAAAAATAATTAAATAAATAATTATTTTTAGCTTATCCGAAAACCTCTGATTTTACTGTTTCGAATTTGAACTTGAAGCTTTGGCAGTTTTTCAGCATTAAACCTCTTCTGAAAACTGATTTTGTGAAGTTAATATTTTAAATGTTTTGTCTGCCAACGTTTTCAGATAGAAGATTAACTGAGATTTATGTCTGCATAACTCCCAGACAAGTCCTTAAACGTGATTTATGAGAATGTAACCAAAGCTTTAATCCAGTGATTATGAGCCAACGTTCATGTCTCCTTCCTTGGGCTATATATAGCCATTGGTGCGGACAGAACAGTGTGCCAGCCTCTTCAGTTTTCGAGGCAATTCTCTCCTCCCTTTATCTTCTGTTCGTCCATTCATCTGCGTTTACTTTTAGTCTCTGTTATTCTGTTCCCTTACTCTATCGCAGGAAGTGCTTGTTTAATCCTGGAGAATTGCTGGTCCATCGTCTAGGTGTGCCGAAATAGTTTTTCAGGACAGTGTCCTTCCGGGCACAACTCAAGCTATTTGAAGTTTGCTGTTCGCATCTACCGTCGGTGCCGCCAACAAGAATTTTTGACTCGAGAAAATTTCCAAGTATTCAAAGCTAGTGAACTATTCACCATTAGACAAAAAACAACTCCTCATTGAATTTTAACAAGAAATAATTCCATGTGCTAGAATTCTAATTTAAGAAAATGTCTAGGTGTTCAAAGCTGGTGAACAACTCGCCATTTTGAAAAAAACAACTCCCCATTCCATTTTAATAAGAAATAATTTCATGTGCCATAATTATTGATTTAAGAAAATTTTTAGATGTTCAAAGTTGGTGTGCAACTTACCATTCACCAAAAAAAAATCCCCATTTCATTTTTACAAGAAATAATTTCATGTGCTAGAATTTATAACTCCAAAAAATTTTCAAGTGTTCAAAGTTGGTGAATAACTCACCATTCGACAAAAAACAACTCCCCATTCCATTTTTATAAGAAATAATACTATGTGCAAGAATTCCTAACTTAGGAAAATGTCTAGGTGTTCAAAGTTGGTGAACAACTCACCATTTTGAAAAAAAAAAACTATTATATAAATGACAAGTCTACATTCACTGATACATAACTAACATTGATACAGACAGCATCATCATACTTTATAATATGATATAACATCCATTTTGGTGAACAACTTTCATTATATTGAGAACAAGTTAATATTAGTATATAGACAACATCAATCCCACCTAATTTTATAATGGTACTTGTCATGGTAGAAACAAGTACCCTAATGAAATTTTTCTTCCATTTACATTATATTGCTGCACAAACATAAATAAAAGACAATAATCTATTAAAAAAATATTATAATGGGTTATTTGTATATAAAAGTTGCACCCCTTAGCCACACACTTCGCGATGACTTTGTCCTTATGATTCTTCTGGAATTTATACTCAAACTTGTTAGCGAGGCTATATTTGTGCAATGCTTTTCTGAAAGCTACTGCATCAGGGAACATCTGTCCTATTTTTGAGTCTATAATTGCAGTTCTAATATCAACAATATATTATTATTATTTGACAACAAAAAGTTCAACAATTCCATATTTCAACTAAATTTTACTCTATTTTCTAATATAACTAAAATTTCAATATCAACTATATATCATTATTATTTTACCAAAAAATAGTTTATCACTTCTAGACTTTCCTTCTCAGGCTATCACAATATATTGAAAAGAAAAATATAATCAAATCATAAAATAACAACTACACTCTCCATTTTAACAATAATATATTATTGTATTTATAACACAACATTTCATATCAGAACAAAACGTTTCTGTGGATGCTAAGATAGACCCACGTTAAATAAGATAGATTAATGCTACTGAATACCATTATTATGCAACCTACTATTGTTAATTGTATATGCTAAACCCCTAACTACTTTGTTCCCACATTCAACATGTTTCTTCGGTGGCATAAAAGTATATAATGCAATCAAGAATCTTAAAGCTAATATTAGTCAGGGCTAAATCATTTACCTCGATGACACTGTAAACTTTGGATTCAACTGCCTATCTCTTAAAGTAACTCGATGGTAAGCTTAAGATACCCAAAAAACAGAACCAAATACAAGTTAGCTGAAAGAAAGAATGCAAAACTAGTTCACTAAGGAAGACAGGGATTGAGGAAGGAATCTGCAATTTTCAACTTACTAGCTTACATTAGCTAAACCCTTTAAATGTTTTCACGCAAACGACAGCTTATTTTCCTGAGTTCCATGCTTCATTTCATTTCCATTAGAGGGGCATTTTCATATTTTCCTAGTTAAAATTAATTATAGTTAGGACCTTTGAGTCTATAGTGTAAATTCAAAATTAATTGGTCCTCAGCTGTGAATATGTTTCTCCAGCAGCCCTTGGCTATGATTTTTCCTTTTTTTAATACATGACCATGAAGAATCATGCATAAAGAAACAAAAAGAGATTAGATCATATTACAAATAATGAAATCCCCAACACTTGATTAGTGATATTGAGAATAGGAGTAGCATTTATATATGATGGACAAGCTAATCAATGCATCTATTTATCTCTCATATCAAACATAATTGTTCCTCATGATCTATATGTCCCCTTATCATTTTTGGTGCAGTCAATTGTTTTTCAAATCACAAGGATGGTCTCACTCAACCCTTAGGGCCATCACTATGCTTTCACTGCAATTAGGAAAAGGAACAAGATAATCCATAAGGGTATCCCTATTTTGACTATCTAAATGGTTGACTTTGCTTCCTTCTTAATACTTTTTCCTTGATGCAAGGAAAGGCAAAAGCTAAATAAGAAATAAAAGGTAGCTGCTGTGCAAATGAAATGGAATAAAGTCCTATAACCTTCAACCAGCTCAAACAAGATCATGCAATAAGCAGCCATGCAATGTGAGAATTAAACAAGCCAATCCGGGCAATTGTTTGATTTTCTAATAATATTATCATAAGTAACATTCCAATAGGGGATTCCTAACATCCTCAACTAAGTTATACAGTACGGGTGATTCCTATTACAAATGATGGAATAGTATTAGAAGCCTCAATGGAATCCAATCACATCTTAATCTTCATGTTTTCCTAGTCCCAACATGGCTATAAACCTTGTTGGGTGTACATGAGTTCTACTATTGTGCTTGAAAAAATAGCCTTTTTTTTAATATGCCACCATTATCCCTAATTAGCCCCAGTAGGTGATATAGTTAGCTTTATTGACAGAGCCATCAACATCTAATGTTACCCACCTCATCATGTTCAAAGATTTTTGAGATATGCTTCAAATCATTATTAGATAATTCAAATAGTATGTTGAATCTACATTGCAATCTGAACTTGGCCTCCAAGCATCTATCAAAACACTACATAAGTCTTTCTATCTAGCGTTTCACGAGAAGAAATTTGTCAATCATAATGAAAATACTATCCTGTGTGGTCTTGCTTTTTTCTAGGAAGTTGTTTTTCTAATATTTTTTTAAATAATTTCCACCATTGCTAAGGGTAATTTCCAGTTAAATAAATTGAGTGGCCAACCTATCGTAAAATTCAATTGAGTGGTGATTTATTACTTTACTTGTAGGTTTTGGACTGCTAGAGTAATAAACGCTTTATTTGACCTTTCTCAAACTTATCAGTTAAATGCTTAATTTGTTCATTTTTCTCATAATTTGTTCATTTTTCATTGGTCTTGCTTTTGGTTTTTGATTTATTCCTTGACTTCATTAATAAAATTACAATGCAGAAAAATTTCTTTGATAATACCCATTATTGTCCACAAATTTTAAGATTATTCATTTTGGAGCCATACTTGTTTAGTTAATTACAAGACAAGATTTATAATAACTTCAAAAAAATATCACATACAAGAAACTCCTTTCTCATTTTAAAAGTTGGGTGAGATGCATTGAATATTTCTAGTACATTACCAAACTCAGGAATGTCATATTTTAAAAGCTATTTTTTTTTTGTTTTTTGTTTTATCAAATCAGTAATGTTGTCCTTGTTCAACATTATCAACTTTTTATATATAATAGGATAGGATTGTTGGTAAAAAAAAAAAACAGAGAGAGAGATAGGATTGTGCTTTTAATATATCGCAATGTCAGGCAAATTTTATCTTAATAAAGTAAGATTTATTTAACACATTAACAAAAATCATGTTACACGATACCTCATTTTTAAATTTAAGCATTATCAAATCTAATTAACTCTTTTAAATTATTTTTTATTTATTTAAATGAACTCAAAACTAGATATCATGTCTACATGGTCATAACTTCCTTCATTAAAACTAATATTCGAGCATTGTTAGATCCCATTTGAAGTAACCATCACAAATATTTTTTGCATTTACACCACCTTTGCCTCAAAACCACTGAGAAACAGAACGTTCGGATGTTGAAGCCCAATTTCCCTGAGGTCAGGCCCAATCAAAGCTTTAGCCTCTGTCAAAAAAAAAAAGAACGAAAAGAAAATTCTCTGCCCTCATTCGCAAGCCAAACTAGGGTTTTGAACCCTTCTCTAAACCCTTTCTCTCTCTCACACACACATTTCCTGTTCCACTCATCCTTTCTTCACATTTCACCGATTGCGTTCTTCCAGTGCTCTTTCCATGGGTAGCCAAGCCGCGGTTTCGTTCCTCACGAACATTGCACGCGCCGCTTTTGGGCTCGGCGCGGCTGCAACTGTCCTTAACTCGAGTCTCTACACCGTCGACGGTGGCCAACGGGCAGTCCTCTTCGACCGTTTCCGGGGCATTCTTGATGAAACCGTCGGGGAGGGCACTCATTTTCTTATCCCTTGGGTACAGAAGCCTTACATTTTTGACATTCGCACTCGACCTCACACTTTCTCTTCCATCTCTGGAACCAAGGACTTGCAGATGGTCAACCTCACCTTGCGTTTGCTCTCTCGTCCCGACACCTCTCGCCTCCCCGTGATTGTACAGAATCTTGGTCTGGAATATGATGAGAAGGTTCTTCCGTCCATTGGAAATGAAGTTCTGAAAGCCGTGGTTGCACAATTCAATGCTGATCAGCTCTTGACGGAGCGTCCCCATGTTTCAGCACTTGTTCGTGAGAGTTTGATCCGGCGAGCTAAGGATTTCAACATTGTTCTTGATGATGTATGGTGATGAGTGAATTTTTATTGAAATTCTGTTTGTGTTGATATTTAGTGGAAGAATGCAGTTCACTCACAAAATTTATTGCGATTAATTTGTGATATTTCACAGGTTGCTATCACGCATTTGTCATATGGACATGAATTTTCAAGGGCTGTGGAGCAGAAGCAGGTGGCGCAACAAGAGGCAGAGAGGTCCAAGTTCGTGGTGATGAAGGCGGAGCAGGAAAGAAGGGCTGCCATTATTAGAGCAGAGGGAGAGAGTGAATCTGCGAAACTAATTTCAGATGCGACATCGTCTGCGGGTACAGGGCTGATTGAACTTCGTAGGATTGAGGCATCCAGGGAGGTGGCGTCTACATTGGCCAAGTCGCCTAACGTATCTTATCTGCCCGGTGGGCAGAACTTGCTCATGGCTCTTAATGCTTCACGTTGATGCTGGTAATCTTGCTTGCTTATTTTATCATTTCATTTTTGACTTGATTTTGTTTCTGATCCTCAGTTGTGTATTTCTACTTGATTTACTAAGTTTTTCTGTCTTATTTGTGGCTATTGACTTCTTGGTTCTTGGTTGTGTAATCGTGTTTTATCTTGATTTACTATTTCTTGGTGATAACATGCATGAATTAACATTAATGTACCCTATGATATTTAGTTACCCTGCTAACCTTACTGGGTGAAGTTCAAATGCTGATTGGTCTGTGCCATATTGGTAGGCTTACCCTTAGCTTTTGTTGAATAAACTGCTGAAACATAAATGCCTATCCCTTAATGTAGCAGTTTACATGTTAGCTTAGAGACTTGATTGTTTGCGGTCTTCTTTTTGTTGAAGCTTGGAAGAATGTTAGATTGTTTTTCTTTGTTGAGCATAAAACAGATGAATATATTTTGAGTTCTCCGATTATGGGTGTTATCCCTGTGAGTTACTAGAATTACATTACTTTTATACCATACTGCTATTTCAACAAAGATGAAAGGTTTATGCTTTCATTGAACCACTGGGGGCTGAGGAATGTCAAATTGCTTTTGTTCCTTTTCATGTTGGCAATTTCTTCTTTAGATGCTTAACATCCTCATTTGCGATCAATTGATTCAAATTCACTTCCCAGTTGTTTATATATCCATTTCAGTACTTCACATGTGGGAAAGATATTATATGTAGATGTTGGGTTTAGTGGGTATAACAGCAAAGTTATTTCAGGTTTTTGCATGTTCTTGTAACCATTCAACAGCAATATTAAGAATGGCTAGATTTCTAGTTCTATAAGGGCTTGATTTCTACTTTAATGAACAACAGGGATCCTCTTCCTCGTGGAGGCTCTGTGCTCCAACTGAACTGTATCTTATGGTTTGAGTAATCTTTGAAGATTGTGAATTTCTTTTGTGTGATTGATCTTAACACAATCCCGGCAAAATTATAAAGATATAGCAAAATTCCATATTCCTGGAAAGTGGACAATTAATTCTTTTAATATTAATTATTAGTGTTATTGTGAATATCTCTATCGTGCATTGGTAGTTTGTAATGGTCAACAATGTTGACCCAACCATTGCTATTGTTTGCTTTGCGCCCTTACATTTCCCTTCTGATTGCAGGATCCAGTGATGTGGTTCGTGGCAAGCTTGGATTATTGTTTTCCTAGTTGTCGTTTGTTGAAAGAAAAATTTGCTCCCGCCCCTCATTTTTTTCAAGTGACTTACGCGGCCCTACACTGTGGAGACTGAATATGAAAATAAGTCAATCTTGTTAAGGAAAAAAAATTAGGAATGAATATGATATGAATTTCATGTTTTGTTGAATGGGTTCTCTTAACTGTAGAACCATGACCATGTGCCAAAAATACGTTCCAAGGTAGGAGATTAATTTGAATATTTGCTTCTATGCCTTACGCAAATACTTGATAGAAATTTTATTCAAAGCATTTTAGTATGTCATACAAGGTATAGTGCTTTGGGTTATCAGCTATCTGCTTCTTTTATGCATCATGGCGGAAATTTAACCCAATAACGTTGCTTGTCACAAGTTTTCTATAGATACCATGACATATTTGTGTAATAATTCTTGTGTGATTGATATTACCCATATAAGCTATCAACTGAAGATTCTCATTTAGGTTTATTTAATTTTAGCGAGTAGAGAATAGGCTAGAACTGAAGGGTTTGGGATTTGAATCTTGTGTCTTTGTTGATCTTCTTCTCAGGTTGCTTAGCTCAATAGAAAGGTGTGGTGATGCGATAAATTTTAGTTTGGCCTGCTTGCAATTTGGTTCCTTGGATTTTGAAATTTTCCCTATAAGTGTGGTTTTATTCCAAATGCTTAATTCCCATTGAAATTGAAATATAAGATAAAACTTATGATATTAAGAAAACTGCACTGGCTGGTTTGACTGGTTTTGGAAACTAGTCACTTGATTGGTCTAAACTCGAAAGATGTGAGGAAATCGGTGGGCAACAGATCCGGGACTTGGCTTCGCTTCGCTTACACTTCCCGCCTCCACTTATAATGGAAGGTTTATATTTAATATTTAATATTTTTATTTTATATTTATTAAAATAAGAAAATTGATAAATTTGATCACCAGCTTCAGCAGTTCAAGTTTAATATAAATGCCTTAAGTTTAATGTTAATGTTTTTATAAATTAATTATTCAGATATACTTTAAACAGTATAATTTAATATTAATTTTTATATAAATTTTTAATATTAAATTCAAACCATTTATACTAAATTTAAATTGTTTTTATATTAAATTTAAACTGTTCTGATTAGTGATTAGATTTTATTAAAAATTTATAGATTTTTTATTTTAATAAATATAAATTAAAATATTAAATCTCAACTTTTCACATAAAATCTAAATAATCCAGATTTTTCCCCCAAAATGCCGCAGAGCACTGAGCAAATCCAAGGCAAGAAGATCCGCAAATTGATCTCAAACTAATAAAAGTGGTTATTCAATTTTTTTTTTACCAAATAAAATTGGTTATTCAACTGATTGAACTGATCACTTTTTTTTTTTCCAATTTTTTAAATTTAAATTTAAATTTATGTTCTAAACTATGATATTTGCGCGCGCGCACATAGGAGTAAAAAAAAAAAATGCATAAATGGGTATGAATTGTGTGTGCAAGTATGTTTTCATTCTAAAATTATAAATTATAAGATATAAAATAAGTAGGTTTATTCAAGATTTTTTTTTTAAAACCTTGAGATACATTTTAGATGTAAACTAATTATGGTTAAAAACTTCAACCAAGAAAACTTGATTCACTTGAACTTGAAATGCAACAAAACCCACGTGGCAAAAATGTTATGTATGGCAAGCAATGTTACAAAACACAGACTCACTTGAAATCCTAGCTTTGCCCACTTGAAAATACACGTCAAGGTAGACTGTTATAAGATTCAAATTAAATTCTTCATTTGTATGATTGAGAAATCTTAACATGCCACTCTGAAAGTGGTGTGCTTATGTGCGCGGACGGGTGTGCCAGTGTGTAGATATACATGGAACAAACTCAAGACTATGTTTGTGTATGGAAATTTTATTTTCTTAGAAGGATATTATTAGAAACAAGTCATTATTATATCTAAAAATTTGAAACTCGACAAGCATTTAGGGATAAAATAGAAATTAAAAACAAATCAAAACAAGTAAATAAGCAATAGAGACGGAAGAAAGCATGTCACTGTTCCAATTAATTAATCTCAAAAAGGCTTCCATCTCTGGATTTCTATGATATAGATCAGCACTGAAAGATAATTACTTCTAAGCTGTTCAAATCTACTCTGAATTGTCTAGATTTATAATTTTTTCTTTTATTATTTTTTAAAATAAAAATACTCTCTTAACTATCAGTTTTTCAAAAAACAATTTTTTATTTAAAAAACACCCATTAAAAAATTATAAATTTAGATTATAAAAATTAGATGTAAACAATTTGAAATGATGAACTTTTGATGAGTAAAATGAGCATTGAAATTGGTTCAGGACTTCTACACAGCTTTTGTGATTTTAGAAGTATCAAATCACTTGGTATATGAAAATTACATTTGAGTTCAGCTAAATCATATACTCCTTCCATTCAAAAAATATAAATATTTTTAATCAAATCTCACTCTCAATAAATTAGGTACTTATTTTTAAATTAATTTTATCTTTTCATATTTACCCTTATAAACACTTTAAAATAAATATAAAATAATTTATTTAATAAAGATACTTAAAAAAAACATTAATTACTCTTCAAAAGATTAAGAATATTTTATATTTTGAATATTCAATCTCTCAAAAAATACATCATATTTTTAAATGAAGGGGGCATGTATCTAAAACTTGAACCTTTTAGTTGAGTTACTCACCATAGGCATACAAGTTTTGCACTTGCAACTGAATGAGCTAGCGGTGCCTTGAAATAATCAACACATCTCTATCATGGTTGCATTCAACGACAAATCATAAAGGTAAATCAGTGTAAATTACATATGCTTCCTTGGTCTAAATCAGATAGGGACGGATAGCCTTTGAGAACGTTTCTTTTTCACCTACGGAAGCGCTGGCCCATGTCAAGATTGAGTGGGATAGATACAGACAGACATATTATGTATGTAATTTGTTCATCAATGTCAATCAATATATATATATATATATATATATCAAAATTGGGGGATCAGCTCATGTAGGAAAACTTGAGTGGGATACACAACACAAGTCAAGTTGAAAATTCAAATCTTCTTGATATATGAAAAATTGTCCATTGCTATCACTAGATAATAACAAGTTCCAATTTAAATTTGATATTATCTTCCTCACTAGCTAGCCTACGCATACAGATTAAGAATCGTACGTGCAACATCTTCATCTTTATCTTCATTCATATTCCACCATGGAGCTCTGCAGATAACACAACTAGGTGATGATGATGAATTAATACTTCCATTATTATTGCTTGATCTAGTCCATTGCTCCAAGCACTCTTCATGAATCGGATTTCTGCAAGTCGCACAAGCCACAATAAACTTGTCTTCTTTCTTCATCTCCTCCAAACAAATCGGACACGAAGTTCCATCCTCAACCTCTACATTGTTATTGGAACGACGTCGTTCCTGATGACGTTTCAGCTTCAGTGCTGCTAACAGCTCGTAAAACCTCAGGCGGAGTTCCGCGGCCGCCTCGGTCCCCGGCATCGTGGGAAGGTCCACGAGACAGCGAACGCGGGAGGGGAGGAGAGTGCCGATGTGGAGGCCGACGTCGGCGAGGGAGACGCCGAGAACTCCGAAGATGACGAAGAGGATGTGATTGCATGGCGTGTAGAGGTCAGGGCAGGTGCAGCCGGAGACGGTTGAGAGGACGACGGTGTATACGTTTCCGGTGGGTGGTTCGAGGACGAAGAAGGTGGCGTCGGAGCGGTGGAGGAGCCGGAGGTTGTGGGAGTGGCGGAGGCAATGTTGTCGTTGGTGGAGAACGTCGGAGACTGATAGGGAGAATTTGAAGTTACGACGGCGACGGATTAAAGGATTGTGATAAATTGACTCCATGAATTACTATTCTGGTTCTTCTTCTTCAGTCTTCCTCCTCTTTTTTAAAGTGATGACGAGAAGATTTATGTCTGTTTCTCTACGTTCTTTGCCGCTGGGACGAGAAACTGGTGATATTTTATACTGTTGTAAATCATTTTTTATGCAATTTTTACAGGATATAAATTAAATTTAAATTTAAATTTATTTAAAATGAATTTCAGAATATGTGGATTTCATTGATTTTATTTTTTCAAACAAATTATATTATATAAAATACTAAAATAAGTGAAAATGTTAAAAAAATTTACATAAATTCATCAATATCAATTTCAAAAGATTTACATTCTACATCATAAAATTTAATTTAACTTATCTGTATATTTTGAATTAATTTATGAATTTTGATAAATAATATATTAATTTAAACTTTTGAAATAACATAAAAATTAATTATAATTTGGGACTTAAATTCTTTAAAATTGAAATTCATTAATTTTTATAAAGTTTTTTTGTTATTTGTATTTATTTTATTATTTTTTATAAAATATAAAATATTGTATCTTTTCTTAAAAAAAGGTACACTTCGTAAAATTTATGGATCCGCAATTTTAGAAAATCCATTCCCTAATTTGATATAGATATATCCTGTCCTGCCATCCAACCCTCGGATACTCTGTCAGGTTAGTTTGTGTTTGGCTTCAACATAAAATATTTAAAAAAAATCTAAAAAAAGATTATACTTCTTAAAAATATAGCTACCATATATCAAAATAAAAAATAAAAATAAAAATAATAAAGTTTCTCTAAAAAAATATAAATAACAATTTCATCCCTTAAAACAATTCCACTAAAGTTTTTGAGGATCTTTTGTCAATAAATTTTAAATTGAAAAGATTATTTTACAATTTTTAACAAGTTGTGATTTGTTATTCAATTTTATAAAAAATTTGTAATTCTTTAAACAAAAGTTATGAATGGAGTTTGTTATTTTGAAAACTTGCTTTTCAATAATAAAAATTACACTTGACAAATTCTGATTTTTTGTTTAACTCTTGTAATTTACAAAACAAAAGTTGTTATTCTTTAAACAAAAGTTGTGATTGGGGCTTATTTTTTAATAATAGAAAGAAAAAATTAATCTTTAAGTCCTCCAACTTTTAATCCACTTGTAACTCAGTCCCTCAAATATGACTCGTTGTAACTAAATCCCTCAATTATGACTCGCCTATGACTCAGTCCCTCAACTTTTGAATCAATTACAAATTAGTCTCTGCACTTTTATTAATTTTTTTCATATTAGCTTATATTTCACATCAATAAACAAGAGGAGGGTATTTTAAAATAATATATGAGCATTTTTTATCCCTC